ACGTCACATGCAGTTCAATTATGATGTCACAATTACGATAAAAATAAAAGACAACGTCCTTCACTTCAAATTGACGTCGTTCAGGCGTTGAAAAATGAAATGACGAGGGAAAACTGAACTATTTATAAATTCACAAACTATTGTATTTCAATTGAAATGAAATCATAAAACCTCGTCCCCTACAGTTGTTCTCTTTATAATATTTGATGACATGAAGGTTGGTGCTACACCTGCTCACAGATATCAGTGTGTGCGTTACGATGGTGGTACAAACATTGCACGTGAATTGCTAAATGAACCATTTAATACAGTTTTTTTGGCATATACAAAAAGGAAACAATTCTGAAACGCTACTGATGTTAATGAGTTGATTTATCGGAAAGCAGTTATTGACCGTAAGTCCACCATTATTTTACAACTCCGATAGGCCAAGAGGTTGATATTTCAGGATGTTCAATTTCAGACATACATGTAAACGTTGCAAAATATATTTAGTTTCTTGCAGTAAGCTTATCAATGCACCCATATCATATAGGATTCTTTACTCTGTGTAAGGTATCTTGGCAAAAGTATAACATATATTTTTATTATTTGTTATTTACTTCTAGTCACAGTAAAATTGCATTTAAATCAGCCGTCACTTGTTATTTTTCATTCACCTGGCCAAAGGGTCTTGTGAGTGAATTGATGTCGTGGTGCTGCATCCGTCGTCTTTCCGTTATGTAACTTGTCGTGTCAGGTTACCTCCATATACATTGTACCTTTAACCCTGTGCTGGGGTAATAATTTCCATTTGAAAAAAATATTTGGTACATGTATGATAATAATTACAACCATAACAAGTACTAATTGTAGTAACCCCAAACTGCCCTCAATAGTCGCAAAGATGCAAAAATACACCTACATACCATTGGAAAAAATCGAACAATTTCTAATTTCGACCAATCAGAGGCCGTGGCGGCCATCTTGGTTGACCGATCGGAAAATGATGTCATTTGCGCACACCTTTCACCATGATGAACACTTGTGTAAAATTTCATTAATTTCCGTCGAATAGTTTTTGAGAAATGTGTCGGAAACTTTTTCGGTGGAACGAGAAGAAGAAGAAGTAAAACCAATAAGTCCCCCACTTCGTTTGGAGGACTTAATGAACCTTTTGATAGAAATGCACACATTTTTGCATATTTTTCAGACAAATATTCAAATAGTAGGTTATAGTGTAACAGTAGCGTTAATAAAACAATAGCGGTGTTGGTAGGTTGGTAGAAACAGCAGTAGAACTTTGACATGTACTAGAAGCATTAGTGGTATAGCAGAGGTAACAGTGGTAGCGTGATATAAGTAGTTGTGTTAATAGTATAGTACAACGTAAGAAGTAGAGTTATAAGTGTAATAAGAGAGAAGTTTCAGTAGTAATATAGTAGAATAGGAAGTCGTGTTGGTGGTATACTTCATTGTAGAAGCGCTAGTAGTACATTTAAAGCAGTTGTATTAAGTATGATTATAACATTAATGATAAAATAATAAAGTGGTAGTAGTAAAAAGGAATCAGTACCAGTACTATAAGTATACTAAATGTTAGTAATATAGCAGAAATGCTGTGGAAGTGTGGTAGTAGTACTAGCTGTAAAACAGTAAAAGTGCCACAGGTGCTAGTAGTCTAGCAGTAATGTGAACAGTATATCGCTGGTAGTATAGCAATAATATTAACAGTATATCGCTGGTGGTATAGCAATAATATTAACAGTATATCGCCGGTAGTTTAGCAGTAATGTTAACGGTATATCGCTGGTAGTTTAGCAGTAATGTTAACAGTATATCGCTGGTAGTTTAGCAGTTATGTTGACAGTATATCGCTGGTAGTTTAGCAGTAATGTTAACAGTATATCACTGGTAGTTTAGCAGTTATTTTAACAGTATATCGCTGGTAGCTTAGCAGTAATGTTCACAGTATATCGCTGATATCGCTGGTAGTTTAGCAATAATGTTATCAGTATAACACTGGTAGTTTAGCGGTAGTGTTAACAGTATATCGCTGGTAGTTTAGCAGTAATATTAACAGTATATCGCTGGTAGTATAGCAATCATGTTAACAGTATATCGCTGATATCGCTGGTAGTTTAGCAATAATGTTATCAGTATAACACTGGTAGTTTAGCAGTAGTGTTAACAGTATATCGCTGGTAGTTTAGCAGTAATATTAACAGTATATCGCTGGTAGTATAGCAATCATGTTAACAGTATACAACTGGTAGTTTAGCAGTAATATTAACAGTATATCACTGGTAGTTTAGCAGCAGTGTTAACAGTATATCGCTGGTAGTTTAGCAGTAATATTAACAGTATATCGCTGGTAGTATAGCAATCATGTTAACAGTATATCGCTGATAGTATAGCAATAATAACTTAACAGTATATCGCTGGTAGTTTAGCAGAAACGTTAACAGTATATCGCTGGTAGTTTATAGTAGTAATGTCAATAGTATATCGCTGGTAGTTTAGCAGTTATATTAACAGTATATCACTGGTAGTATAGCAGCAGTGTTAACAGTATACCACTGTTTGTTTAGCAGTAATGTTAACAGTATATCGCTGGTAGTTTAGCAGTTATATTAACAGTATATCGCTGGTAGTATAGCAATAGTGTTAACAGTATATCGCAGTAATGTTAACAGTATATCGCTAGTAGTATAGTAATAATATTAACAGTATACCGCTAGTGTAGTATATAGCAGTATTGTCAACAGTAAAACGCTTGTAGTATAGCAGTAGTGTCGACTGTATGGCGTTTAAGTGATAGCAGTTGTATTATTTGTGAGATAGTAACACGTACATGTCATTACAGTAAAAAAACATATAAGTATAGTATGCTGCGACATTTCCAATGCTTTTATTGGGCCTAGGTTGACCATTAATGTAAAACATGGAATTTCTTATGAAATATGTATACCTACACTATTTATAATCTATTAGGATATTTAAATCTGCACTGTTTAGTATATGGTATTAGTAATGCATCCGACCAATTAAATAAAACTGTTCTTATACATGTTGACTCTTATATATTAAATCATCAAAACGTTTCGTTACTTATACGTGCTAGATAAATTCCAAATGAATATTCATGTATTGTTATAATTATTGTTATTCAGGCAAGTTTTATCCCTTAAATAACGAGTATTAGACATAAGCTGGTGTGGGTGTGGGTGTGCATGAGTGTGAGAGGAAAACGAATCACAACATTTTATATATTTAAGCATTGTACATAGCTACCGGAATTAGAAGAAGACTGATATAGGCAAAGCCTGTTGTCTTATTCTTTTGTCAATACTGTTCTAATATCTTCTTTAATGTTAACTTATATGTTTGTATTATATATGTATTGTCAATAAAATACTTTTGAAATTGAAAAAAAAAATGTATACCTTGTTAGAAAATGATATATTATTTCAGAGGCAACAAGAGATAATAATAATAATAATAATAATAATAATAATAATAATAATATTTATTCAGGTAAAATAGGCATGTTATTCCAAGGGTTGGGGTCCCCCTACCAGCGAGGGCTGATCGACCTGCGCCATTGTACAGGTCTATATATGTATTTTGTGACAAAGAATGAAGATGTAATACATGTGTGCTCAATAGTAGACAAAGAGATCATCCACTTCATTTTTTTGCTTGAAGCATAAGGTGTTTTTTAGCATTGGTTTTGAATTTATGTTTGTTTTTTGATATTTTTGATATGATCCGGTAAATAGTTCCAATCTTTAGCAGCCGAAAAGAAAAAAGTCGATGTTTCTGTACCCTAGACGTTTTTAATATCGAAATTTGAATTTCCGGATCTAGTACCGTATGTGTTATTGTTTTGGTGAAAAATGCATGCATATACTGAGGGCATTTCTCATTAAAAGATGTTAAATGCATGATTTAAACGAAGTTGACGAACTCTTCCCTCTACATTGAGCATACTATTTTTTTGTAGTTCAGCACAGGTAATTCTTGTCCTGTTGTTTAAGTTAAAAATAAAACGGACCATTTTATTTGGGGTAATTTGTAACTTTTTATGTAATTTAGAAAGACCCTCATACCAGGATGAACAGGCATAATCGAAATGACATTGTATGAGAGCTGAACATGAGTTTTTCGTGATTTTTGGGATAGACAGTTACTATTTCTGTAAAGGAATTTTGGTCTTTGATTGATTTTTTGTATGACATTGGAGACAATTTCTTCTCCAGATAAAAATCTGTCAATCATCACCCCAAAGTATTTTACAGCCGAATGAAAATATTAATTTGACCTTTGCAAGAAACCTGAAATTTATCCTTGGGCGTTTGAATTAATTTTCTTTTTAAACCAAAAAGGATACATTCTGTTTTTCCCAGATGTAATGATAATTTATTGTCAACAAGCCAATCATGACAGGATTCCAAAACCAAGGAGATTTTAGATGAAATTGTTTCAGGGCATTTATGTGAGAATATGATAGCACTGTAATTCGCATAGAGAAGTAAGTTACATGAATTTTCAATACTAGAGGGTTATAATAGACCAAATATATTTTCAAAAAATCTTCAAGGCTCCGTTCGTACAAGTGTATTAAGTACAATATGTACTATGTTTTATTAACGTCATTATCTTTATGTCATCCAATTCTAATAAATTTAAATAAAGACCTAGAGCTTAAATGTATGGAAATGGTAGCATATGATACCGGAGATAAAACCAATGTCATCTATGGTTGACTTTGAAGTAAATATTGATCTGGAATGATCATTATATGAACATTTCTAATTAAGAAAATTAAAAAATAAAAGACTTGACTGAGCTAAGCATGATTTTGGTGTGTTGATTGGTAATATAACCAGTGTCTTAATACAAAAAAATGAGTACCAATAATTAAAAAATATAGTTCTGTCGCTGCTGCGCCTCGAACCCTCTTTTTATTACTTCACAACACAGTCGACATGCGCAGTATACAGTCAGTAAACAATTTCCGGAAATAAAGAAACTCCAAGGGAAGCCATTTTGGTTTTGCAAATGATACGAGGATCGTATTGCTAACGTTTACTGTGTGCTTTATATGCACATTTCAAAGAAAATGGGTAGATCTCGAAGTCGCAGTCGATCTTCAAGTAGACAAAGACACAAGGGCAAGCACAAGAAGAGGAGGACACGATCTCGTTCAGGGTCTCGTTCAACGCTAAAGGAATCCTGCAGACCCAGTCGTCACAGTCGAAATCGTTCAAGGTCGAGAGAAAGGAAACGAAATCGGCACGAAAGGTCTCAAAAGAAATTTTTCATTACACAATTTACATTCAAAAGTAGAATAGAGTATGTAACAACGATCACTGGCACTCAATTTCTTTATATCTACATGGCGTGTTTGTTGAAATCGGGGAGTTAGCGTTGGGTGACCAATTTCGGAGCCCTAAGGTGGAGCACAGCGTCCGTTACAAACGTCTGAAATTCACATATGCAATACTTCTATTGGTCACAGCACACATAAACGTGTATGTTTATGTGACCCATATCAGTATAGCTATGTTTATAAGCATAGAAGCATATGTATACCTTATATAGTGCTTAAACCGGTGTTAAATTGACATACTCACTGTATGTACATAAATAATAGGCCTACTGTTTTTTTCTATGAATTTTCTTTATTTCAAAAGAAATTACTTAATGATATTTCAGTTTTGTTTTTGTATAAAATTATCATCTGAAAATTTAAGAAGAAATGACCACTAGTTATCATCTCTTTTAAAAAGAAGCTTACACTCTTCCAAAGTTGTCATGAGAGCGAAATCACACACGGCTGAAAAGCTTAAAATCATTCTTGGCCCGAGGGCTTCGCACCCCTGGGATCCCCCTCCCCACCAGGGCGTCTTGGACCATGACAATTTTCCCCTAGTCACAAAAAAGGGTACCTTTCCCTATATCCTAGATGGATGCCTGGAGATGTCAGGATAAATATAGCCAGAGTTTCCTCTGGCCCTGACATCAGACTTAGACATTTTGACAGATAGATATCTGGTGTGGGGCCAGAGCACACTGCTCTATGAAAACGTGGTAATAGTTTTGAGGTGCTAACAAAAGAAATTGACCGACACAACACATAACTCGCATATATCGATAAATGGATTATTTATTGATCCAAATTCACTTTTATTATTACTGACACCTGCAAATTCTGTCAGTAGTCCTCAGTTTTCAGTCGTTCAATATTTCCCACCTTAGCTCAAATGCCCGAAGTGCAAGTGAGCTTATGTCATGGTGCAGCGTCCGTCGTCCGGGTCCGTCCGGTGTCGACCATCAACTTTCCTACTTCAAGGTCACAGGGGTCAAATATGTCAAACAATTAAACAACTTCTTCTGAATAATCTTAGAGCATAGTTTATAATATTTAGCTGGGATGGGTCTGCCAAAAGTTTGGAAATGAAAATAACCCAGATCGCCTTAAAAGGTCACAGGGGTCAAATATGTCGAACAACTTCGTAAGAAGAACCAAAAAGCATAGAATCTTATAATAATGTTTGGATGGTGGTTTCAGCAGATGTTGCCAGGTGCCAACAATTTTTGCGAGTGAAATATTTGTAGTACAGGTCTAAAGGATAATATTTAATGAGAATATTTTGCTATGGCTCCTTAAATATTCAGGTGAGTGATACAGACCCTCTGGGCCTCTTGTTGGAGTTCATGGGAGTGATAAATCAACAAACCGTACTGTTCTGGACCGAAAAAGGAATAAATAATTCTTGTTTAGAAGATACCCTGCAGACCGCCCCTTTTTATTGATTAGTCACTCCCATGACCTACAAAAACGGTGTTCGCAAAAAAAATGCCCAAGTAAATAAACATATAACCTTTTCAGTTTTGGTAGTGTTCTTTAATGTAATTTGTTTGGCAATTTGACAAATCAGTCATAATAAGAATGCTATTTTTATGTAGGTATGAAGTTGAAGTTTTGAACTGCAACATTGGGTAAATTAAGACTGTTTTGTAACAAGATCTGTTTTTTTGGTGTTTTTTTGCTGCAATTTTGGTAAATTTATACTACCAGATTAATGGCCATGAATAATATTAAGTTAATTTCCTTTCAGGAAACGATCCACTTCCAGCAGCTCTAGCAGTGATGATGATCTTATCATACGTGCGAAACGCAGGGAGGAAGAGGAGAAAAAGGTGGAGCTGGAACGACAGAGACTGCAGTAAGCTATTGTTATATTTAGATGATTATGCAAAAATCCTATGATCCTTTGAGTAGTAATTAATGTTTCAATCAACAACAAACTCGTTGCTCTTTGTATTATGATATTTTGAACAGCTGTCTGTCTACCTCTTTTGATTCTTCAGTTTCTGCAAGATACCTATGTTCAATATAACTTTTGATGCAACTTAGTAGGCATGTGATACACATTTAGACTAGGGCTAGGCTCATACATGAGCAACATCTGTGTAGTATTACATAGCACACCATGCTCTCAACGCTTAGCAAAGTTTGAAGTTGAGCTAAATCAGATTGTAATTAATTAATAAAAAATTACCACACTTCACCCTGATTGGTTGGCAGTTTATTTTGATAGGATTCTGATGAAATTTATTCCGTACTCATAACATACAAAGACAAAAGGCTAAGTTCAAAGTTAACAAAATTTGTCTGCAACATTGGCTTTTCTAATTAAAGGAAACAGAAAGAACTAGAAGAGCGATTGATAGAGGAGGAAGTTGCTAGACGTGTGGAGGAGCTTGTGGCCAAACGAGTTGAGGAGGAGTTGGAGAGACGAAAGGATGAGATTGAGGCTGAGGTCCGTCGACGTGTCGAGGAGGCGAAACGTATCATGGAGAAACAGATGCTGGAGGAGCTGGAACGTCAACGGGAGGCAGAGCTGGAAGCTCGTAGACACAAAGAGGTACACACACAATCTGGGCGCATGTTTGGGTTGGCTCTGGTCTGGTCTTGTTTATAGCCACAGTTAAAGGTGTGGAGTTGGGGAGAGAGTTGGGCAGGGCTACACAGACTCTTCACAGCTTTATAATGGTTATTTTATACAGATCATATGATCAAGAGAAAAGACCTGTACTATTGAAATAATTTTATAGTTGCATTTAAAGTTATCAAGATCATAAGAAATAGCTTGTGAAGTGACTGTTGATGAATGAGAATGGTTAAAATTCAAAAGGTTGTAGATTTGTTCAAGTAGCTTTGAATGTTGAGAATACATATGTGAGAAAATATAAATGATGACGATTACTTGTCCATACCTTTAATGTATTGGTGGTCGCACCTATTATTCCTTCACAACCCTATGCTTATAAATCAAAAGTTCCCGTTACTTGCTGTGTGTAATCTTCTAGAACAAATACTGGAGAAGTTAAATGAATAATGCAATCAGAGGGAGCAGAAATAGCAAAATTAAATGCAAATGGTAATAAAGTTGGGATTTTTTTTTATTAAATTAGAATCTAAGTACAGGGAAGGATTATATAATTTGATAACTTTCTATCCCTTTGTTCATTTGTGTTTTACTGCAAATGTTTCAACAAAAAGCATCATTTTGAATAATATTTGTCCACCATATACATTCATGTTTAAGGATTCAGATTTTTGTTGCTAATCTTTTTAAATATATGTACACAATTCAGTACACTGATAACATATTTGTATAAAGGACCTTGTTAAAAGTGCTTTAAAGAGTCTGATTTGCAGCAGGACTCAAATGTGACAAAGTGAATGATAAAACCTTGCATCACAGAGTGATTGAACAAATCTACAGCTGAGAGATGTATGTGTGAGTCAGTGAAGGCCAGACCATAGCTATCCCTCCGAGTCTGTCAAACAGCGCTCCAGCTCGGCTTCTCGTCACCGTGCATAATGCAACATTCAAAGATGTTCTTTTTTGATACCATAGATCTGTTCTTAATGGTCATTTTGCTGTCTACTCTTGCAAGTTTTCAGCCAATGAGCAAACAGCAAATCATTAGAAATTGATTTGTTAAAGAAGTAACAAAATGTTGCACGGTTGGTTCTGGAAGTCACAGCTGGACTGTCAGACTCGGAGAAAGAAAACCATCCCATCCTCAAAATCTCCACGTAACTGTTATATGCATGACGGAGCCATTCAATTCCAGCCTATGGTAGAAGTAGTCCCAGCAGATAACACCGATAATCATGCCAAACAAACATTTTCTTTCACAGTTTCTCTTAGGAATTCCAGTATCTAATTACAGACATAAAGGGAGTTTCAGGGCAGCAATTATTACCTCTGTATGCAAGTATTAGACATTTTTTACAAATCTTGATATATTTATATCACATAGGATGATCATCGCCAAAGTCTAAGGTACAGTAGAGCTGAGAGAGTGTAAGAGAGAAAGCATGATACCCGTAAAAACATGACATTTTGGGAGGGCCGGGTCTTGGATGTGTGATAAGGGTAGCGGTTAATTCATGTGTAAAAGTACGAGGGAGAAGGATGTTAAAAGTATGTGCCTGTGATGGAGGCAAGGAGGGCTATTGAGTTTACCTCCCTCCACGATTGCTTACTCATGTGAAGAATTGTAGCTCGACCAGAGAAGAGAAGTAACAATGCTGTCTGGTTTTGGTATGTACGTTAACTATCCATCGTCCACAGGTAAACAAATGATGCCATCTTACATATTGTCCTATACATTTACCATTACAAATTTTAATGCACTTTTTTATTGTTTCCTTAATTTTGATCTTGCATTGACATCAGGGCTGTCTTTCAATTTGGTAGACATCATACACATTTATATTATGATGACGATGAAAATTGATATTTGTCTATTTAATTATATCTCCACAAGCTGATTACATGTATATTTGACAAGGAAGGAACAACAACCAGTGCTGTAGTGTTCCCTCGTTGTTGTGTGCTGTGGATATTTGTTGGTCTACCGTTATATTGCTAATGTTGATATTGTAATATTTTTACTGAAAAGTAATATATTTTTAGAGGAAAATTGATCACAAACTGCTAATATTTTCACTTTTAATCTTTGCTTGTTAATATGTGCCAAATATATCCATGTATATATATATAAATACGCTGTTGGTATTGAGAATTTAAGATCATCAAACACAATTCAGATAAATCTAGTCTAATAATATCATAGATACTGTAGTCTGTGTGCTGAAATAATATATTCAAGATGCTTATATGCTAAATAAGTATTAGAACTCAAAAGATGATTTAAGAAATGCTTGTGTGGCTATGTCGGGATGTAGGGTGTCATCAGGTCTATAAAGTTAGGCAGAATTCAGCTAACCACCTGTTCACATGCCAACCTTTTTTGTAGGATGAGGAGAGGAAGAAGAGAGAGGCTTTAGAACAAATAATGGAGGAAAACAACCGTAAGATAGAGGAAGCACAGAAAAAACTGGTATGTGATGCACATCTTTGTGAAAATTCATTTGCTGTGGTTTTCAGTCAATAGTTTATTTACAAAACAGTAATGTCCACGATGCAACTATATATATATATATGTTGAGATAAATATTTGCAATATTTTTTTTTACGGTCAAGCCTCTTCAGAATTGCAACAGTGTAATTTGTTTAACAGTAATCCATGTTTAATGTGATGATCACTGGTCAGGTATCTAAGCACTGAGTATTATGTTATTTGAATAATTAACTTCATCATCATATTATCAGAGTGTGGTTTATTTTTAGAGAACCATATACATATTAACATCATCATATTATCAGAGGGTGGTTTGTTTTTAGAGAACCATATACATATTAACATCACCATATTATCAGAGTGTGGTTTATTTTTAGATAACCATATACATATTAACATCATCATATTATCAGAGTGTGGTTTGTTTTTAGAGAACCATATACATATTAACCTTTAAGTGCAAAATATGAACATGTTTATGCAGGCTGAGGAGCAGTTGAAATTAGTAGAAGAGCAGAGACGTATGTTAGAAGAAAAACAACGAATGGAGGATGATGACAGACGTCGTAACAAACGGGAACAGGAGGTAATACTCAATAAGAAGAATGCTCGTCCTAAGGTATCCTTCTCTCTGGGAAAGTGATGTGTGCAGTGTTCGTAGGATCAAAGTTGTGCAATTGGAGCAGAAAGCCTGTGGAAATTTGGGCTAAAAGGTACAAGATTCTGGATGTCTTGAAGGCACTGCACAAGGACCCCTTGCAGCTTGTGACAAAGCTTCAGGTGTCCAGTAAATCTAGAGTCTGTTCATGCAAGATTTATCCGGTTTGTTTCAACAGTGAGAATCTTTGTTTGCTCCTTCCTGTTCAACTGGATGCCTCTACTCCTTAGCACCAGGTGAAAAGGATGTTGGTTATTAAATGCTTGTGTGGGCATGTTTTGTGGGTGTGTAGAGGAGTATGTGTGTGTTGTATGAGGGTTAGGGTGTGTAGAATGTGTCGGTGTACGAGTTTGACGAAGTAGTGCTAGATGAAGTGGTGTACGAAAGTACTAGTGTGTTGAGTGAAAAAAAGAGATATGTGTTTTTATAGTAATTATTAATTGGATATGTACAAAATATTCCCATCTTTAAACTATAAATGTAATGACATTGTGATGTTCAATTTTATAATATTTATACTGTCAAAAAGGATATCTTGTAAAAATATTGTTTTGACATGTGATGAAAGAGGACCTTCTTGAAAGACGCACATTATATATAGTTTGTTGGTGTAACTGTGATGAGCAGTACTATCTAGAGAGTATATAAGCATGCTATCAGTGCACTGGTAGCCGATATCACAGAGAGACTGAATAAGGGATGAACTGTCTTGGTGAAAAGAGGGATTGTGTATCTGTATGCACTTGTCTGGAAGCAGACAGAGAATGAATTGAGAAAAAAGTCTGGTGAACAGAGGTGTAGCTGCATGCATAGGCTAGCATTGCACTTGGCTGGCAGTAGTTATTACTGACTGTATCTAGATAAAAACTCTTTGTGTGGTGAGGGAGTGATGTGTGAAGCATGGTAATGGAAATGACAAGCTATTGTCACCCAGTTAACACAGATAGGGCAGCAGTACATACAAGGGGTGTTCTATGGTTTGGCTCAAAGTGCTGTGAAACTTGTCATTTGCTCCCTTCAGGATTAGGATGAACATTTCCTGTGCTGAGTGGAGGATTCGCTTGCTGTAATCTGCTACACACTCAGGCAGGTGTGTCATTGTTCTAGCTTACAGAAGTACATCCTCCATTCAGTGCAAGACCTTTTCATGCGCAAGTTGAAGGGTCCAAATCGAAAGTCAAGAAAATTTCAAACAGACTTCAATTTTACAGTACACTGGGCTGACATTTGCATTGTCTGTTTACGTCATCTGTTCTGAACTCAATAGTTACGTCATGAAACTCACATTCATTCAGTATGTAATGATAAATTATAACTGTGCCAAGGAAGTCGATTTTTTAGAGCTGTTCATTGCAAGTGTTTGCTTTTGAATGCACGACTTTTGATGTTCAAATGACATTAAGTATTTAAGAAATTCCTTTTTTCGTTTGATGTACGCTTTTAAAAATTATAGCATCAGTCATAGATTTTTAGAAGGTACAGGTGGGAGTTAAGTTACTTATTTTGTAGAATGTAGGTTAATAGAAAAATAAGATGAATTGTGTAGATTTCTTAGGTTGCTGAAGGGTTGAAGCTTCGGTTCGGAAGAGGTGTAAATGCGGTAAGTAATTATATTGCGTAGGCAGTGAATAGTAAATCGAAAACTCTAGTCCCAAGGTTGTGAAGCTTCTTTCTAAGAAACCTGCTTCATTATATCTGTGTATCAAGAGTGGAAATTCCTGACAGAACATTAAATTGCGGTGTATTCTGCTGCATTTAAACATGCTCAACACTTTATATAATTGTGTGGATAATGTAGACATTTTCATCTGCTTTTCACAGAACAGACTTTACTCACATTTATCAAGACAAAGATTTGTTCGATATTATTTATCTGAATATTCTATTCAGATTTATAATTACAATTAAAATATTGTTCAAGATAAAATTGGAAAGTTTTAACAAATACAAAGAATCTGATATATCCCTACAACAGTTTGAATTGTTTCCAGCTTTATCGTCGTTTACGAATGTAACTAACTTAACTTCCTTCAATGAATGCTGTTGTTATTAAAAAGAAAAAAGGATACAATTTTTTAACTTCATATGAATTCTTAAATTAATTCTGTTTTGGATTTTGTTGGAAGAACTTTTCCTTTGCTTTAGTACTTCATTAATTATGAATTTGCACTTCATTGCAATAAACTCTTGTCTGTATACATATTGTCTTGGTGTTAGTGACTGACTCATGTAATATAAACTTGGCAACAACGATGGAACATTATATAGCCTTGAATACATTGGTTTAAGAATATTTGCCATATTAATGAAATCATAATTATAATTTATGCAAGGAATTATCAGGAAAATAATTTACAGATTATCAGAATCTGGATAAGCAAGGATCTATTTTTTGAAAACACTCCGGTCTAGCTGTTCAAATCATCAGTTGCTTAGAGTAGCATCAACTTATATGCTCTTTTGAACTGTTTCTACAGGTCTAAGCCACTTAAAACTGATGTTTTAGTGCACATAACTAAATTTGAAACGATATTTATAAAACAAGTAAACAAATAAGAAAAAGTGCAATCACCTGAGTGTGTGTGTATTATTTTTATCTTTCTGGACCCACTGCCAATCCTAGAAATTAAATGGTGTTGCTATCTACCTTGACAATGAAGGGAAACAACTCTAAATCAGAAACAAACAGTTCTAAATATTTACATATTATAAAGACAGCATTTCTTTTTATATGTATTAGTTAGCATGTTTTTTGACTTTTCTGTTTGGGAGATCAACATCCTTCATAAGACGTGATGTCTTCATTCTCGGTAATGTAAATTATGACATGCCACGTGATGATATTTTCACTCTGAAATTCACAGATTTCCTATGATTAGAACAAGTAATTTTACTATTCCGATAGACTGATACGCCCAATTTTACCAGCGTTATTATACAGAAGATAATCAGGATATATGATATCAATTAATTCATGGTATACTCTCTTAGATACCGGTCCTGTACCATTCTGCTGGATGGCTTACAAATGTGTTCAAAGGATTGACACTTTGTGACGTTCAATGTAACCGTTGTCGACGTCATACCATTAGTCTACGACTACTATTGTCGTAGGGATAAAATTTGATCAAAAGGATTGACATTGAATATTGTTCATGGTAAGCAGGGGTTGGGAGTTTGTTGAACTCTTCTAACAACTTGTACAGACCTGTGAATCATACAAAGGTCCTATAGTAATATAAGGTCTGTAGGTTCAGTAAAATCGTAGGCCTGCTGTATGCCATTGGATGTTATAGTAAGGGGCGACTTATGTCCCTCCCCTTGTATTATCTCGGTTTCTGCCTAAAGGACAATTGCAATGAAACCATAAATGATTTGTTGTCCTCATCGATCAACTTGACATCTATATTTTCTTGCTGATGAAAATGCTGATCAACATTGTCGCTACCACCTATTGATTCTAAGCTTTATGCTACATATTTTAAACCACTTTTAATAATGTTTTTCCAAGTGGCAAAGTAACTGGAACAAATGTGTAGACAACAAATTACACTAAAAATTTAATACAATCAGCGAATGGGTCCTTTGGGTAGTTTTAGAGAATGACACCGAGGCAAGTTTGTTTTTGCCCTTCATTCATGTTCTTTAAGCATTTTATGTTCATTGAAACACGAAGACCAGCTAGTTGTCCCGAATCATTTATAATGACCGTATTGTATTAGACAACAACCTTCAACCGACACAGGCTATATATACATTGTATATACGAGTCTTAAATGTGTAAATTTGTCTGTCTTCTGAACAATATACCTACATGTTTTGAAATTATAGTATATTAAGTTTATTAGGTCACCTGAGCTTTAGCTCAAGTGACCTTTTGCTATCCGTCTTCGTCCGTCGTGCGTCGCCCGTTAACATTTAACATTTTCAACTTAAGGGTCGATCAGAAATCCAATATGACCGCCACGGCCGCCATTTTGAAAAACTATTTCAAACTTAAAGTCAAGTTCTGCTAGGCCGATTAAACTGAAACTTTGTAGGAATGATCGACTCATGGTCCTGACAAAGTGTTGTTATTTTTTGGACCGATCAAAAATTCAATATGGCCGCCACGGCCACCATTTTGAAAAAAATATATTCAAACTTCAAGTCAAGTTCCGCTGGGCCGATTAAACTGAAACTTTGTAGGAATGATCGACTCATGGTGCTGACAAAGTGTTGTTATTTTTCGGGTCGATCAGAAATCAAATATGGCTGAGACGGCCGCCATTTTGAAAAACTATTTCAAACTTCAAGTCAAATTCTGCTAGGCCGATTAAACTGAAACTTGGTAGGAATGATCAACTTATTGTCCTGACAAAGTGTTGTTATTTTTCGGGTAAGTCAGAAATCCAATATGGCAACCACGGCCGCCATTTTGAAAAACTATTTCAAACTTAAAGTCAAGTTCTGCTAGGCCGATTGAACTGAAACTTTGTTGGAATGATCGACTTATGGTCCTTACAAAATGTTGTTATTTTTCGTGTCAGTCAGAAACCCAATATGGCCACCACGGCCGCCATTTTGAAAAACTTTTTCAAACTTAAAGTCAAGTTCTAATTGGCCGATCAAACTGAAACTTTGTAGGAATGATCGACTCATGGTCCAGACAAAGTGTTGTTATTTTTCGGGTCGATCAGAAATCAAATATGGCTGAGACGGCCGCCATTTTGAAAAACTATTTCAAACTTCAAGTCAAATTCTGCTAGGCCGATTGAACTGAAACTTGGTAGGAATGATCCACTTATTGTCATGACAAAGTGTTGTTATTTTTCGGGTAAATCAGAAATCCAATATGGCAACCACGGCCGCCATTTTGAAAAACTCTTTCAAACTTAAAGTCAAGTTCTGCTAGGCCAATTGAACTGCAACTTTGTAGGAATGATCGACTCATGGTCCTGACAAAGTGTTGTTATTTTCGGGTCGATCAGAAATACAATTTGGCTGCCATTGCCGCTATTTTGAAAATACCTATTTCAAACTTAAAAACAAGTTCTAATAGGCCGATCTAACTGCAAATCAGTCTAGGAATGATCAGCTCATGGTCCTGACAAACTTAAGTTAACGTTATACTTAACATTTTTTTACTCAAATTGGTACATATTTCAACAACAAAAATAAATACTGTAGGACTCAGGTGACCGTTAAGGCCCATGGGGCTCTTGTTTAAAAATAGCTTTGAGAGTGAGTGATTTGCATTTTTAGGTCACCTGAGACAAAGTCTCAAGTGACCTATTGCGATCGCCTTTTGTCCGTCGTCGTCCGTCGTGCGTCCGTAAACAATTTACATTTTCGACTTCTTCTCCAAAACCCCTGAACCAATTTCAATGAAATTTTGCAGGGACCTTCCATGGACAAAGGTCAACAAAAATAGTTGCCGGTTTAGTCCTA